CAGAAGAGAGGCAGATCAATTAATGGGTCTAAGGTAAAAGCACAAAATTAAATGTGCCCAATTTTGGCCTCTTGGTCTACACCAAAGGAATCTTGTCACACTTCCAGACACCCTGAAGTGTCACATACACCAAGTTTTCTATCAAATGTCTACAATTAGATAGTCACAGAGAGTTAGAACTAGACAGACCCCAATCCTCATGCAATAGGCACATTTCATTTTTTATTTCTTTTTCTAATCCTCACCTGAGGACATGCTTAGAGAGAGGAATGGGGAGAGAGAGAGACAGAAAGAAACACTGATGTGAGAGAGAAACACTGATCAGTTGCCCTCCATATGCACCCTAATGGGGGATTGAAACCCAGGCATGTGCTCTGACCAGGAATGGATTGTCAACCCTTCAGTGCACAGGATGACTGGCTGGCACAATAAGCACATTATTAAGGGAGGAAACTGAGCCAGAGAGTGGAACCATGAGTGTGTCCTTGGGTCCCTTGTATCTCTCTGAGTCTTGGTTTCTTTGTCCCTAAACAAATCAAAGTAACAACCAGAACCTCACATAAATGACTCAGTGTCCTACCAGATCTGAGAAGTGCTGAGGCTTTGCCAGAAAGGTCCTATCTACACACCTGACAGAGAAGAAGGCGGCCCCATCTCAAGAAAACTACATATTCTACCTGATTCAGATACACCGCCCCCCAGAGCCAAGCCTCCAACATTCTCATCCAGAAAAGAATTTTCTTCTTAAAAGTACTCACCACTACATTCATTTTTAAAAAGTAATCCTCAAAGGCTTTGAAATTTTAATTTCATTTGCCCACAAATAAAAATTGTATACTTTTCAAAACCACATAATACCTTTATAAACTGTGTGAACTTTTTACTACATGTATGAGTTAGTTTTTCACTCAACAAAGACAATAAAGATCGGTACTAGACTTATCAAGAGAGATCTCTCCATAAGTTATATAAATGTCCAATCACTATGTGGTACTCCTAAAACAAATATAAAATTGTACATCAACTGTAATTGAAAAATAAGCCCTGGCCGGTTTGACTCAGCAGTTAGAGCGTCAGCCTGCAGTCCAGAGAGACCCGGGTTTAGTTCCCGCTAAGGGCAAGTACCTCGGTTGCACTTTGTCCCCGGCCCTGGTTGGGGTCGTGTGGGTGGCAACTACCCGATGTGTCTCTCTCACATGGATGTTTCTCTCCCTCTCTCCCTCCTTCTCTATCTGAAGATACATGCAAAAGCGTCCTTGGGTGAGGATAAAAAGAAAAAGAAAAAAATTAAGACAACAAAACTAGCCCTGGCTGATTTGGCTCAGCAGTTAGAGTGTCAGCCCATGGACCAAAGAGTCACGGGTTCGATTCTAGTCAAGGGCACATGCCTCAATTGTGGTTCGTCCCTGGCCCTGGGTGGGGTTTTGCAGGAGGCAACCAGTCGATGTGTTTCTCTCGCATCAATGTTTCTCTCTCTCTCCCCCTCCCTCCCACTCTATCTGAAGATAAACAGAAAAATATCCTTGGGTGAGGATTTTTTAAAAATACAACAAAATTAGTCAATACAAAAAAAAAAAAAGAAAAAGAAAAGAAAAAAACCTCCAATGGCCCTTAGAAAGTAGTAAGCACCAAGAAACCAAAGATTTTGTATTATACTTCTTTATATATCCTCCCCTCCCCTATTCCCACCCTGCAGGCAACTCGGTCATTTTGTTTTGTTTTATGTGCCTATAATTGACAGTACAATTTTGGAATAAATCAATAAAATCTACTTTTTAAAGTAATATGCACACATAATTTTAATATAGTCCTTTAAGCCTAGTGTTTCAATGGCTCAGATACTCTTTAAATGGAATAACAGAGGAAAGTAAAGAACTGATGATTAATTTTGAGTTATTTTTAAAAAACAAAAGCGAGAACACCATCCTTGCTCAGTGAAATTCGCTTCTATTCAGATCCCAGTGAAGAATAAATGTGCCCGAATTTAAGCCATTGAACACAAGGCATGTAATACAGTTTCTTCCAAGCAAATTTCAAGTGTCCGATCCTTTATAAACAGACATGCAGGTGCAAAAACTTGGAACATTCTATTTCAGGGACAGACGCATCTGTCAGGATCATCAGAAAACACAGGAAAGGCCCAAAACACTTTGCATGTTTCTGAGAGGTCTTTCTAGCTCCTTCCCATGGAAGCAAACGAGGAGACTGGGCCTTCTCACCACCTTCCCTTCCAGTGTAAAGGCCTTTGCTAATTTGCATAATCTAAACAGTGAAGTAATTTTCAGAGTACATTTCCAAACGACTTGCTTTTCACTGTATTTTTAACTATAAGGACAGCCTCTGAATTCCCCGAACACCAGTTCTGAGATTCCCAACAGTGATGAGCTGCAGGGAGACCAGACAGCAAAACCGCTGACGAAGCAGCCAGCTCCCGGTTTCTCCAGGCTGTCACCTCGGTCTGCACACTGCATCACACACAGGCAGTTCCCCCCAGCAGGTGCCACACAGGCAGCAAAGGTTTAACTCTGAGCAGCGTCAAAACCTCTGAGGGCCAGGGGCTGGAAGGCTGAGCGTGCAGTTTCAAGTCTGTGTGTGTGAGCCTGTGTGAGCACAGGTGAGGGTGAGGGTGTGTGAGTGTGAGGGTATGTGTGTGAGAGCATGTGTGAGGGTGAGGGTGTGTGTGTTTGTATGAGTGAACATATGTGTGAACATGTGTGAGGGTGAGTGTGTGTGAGGGTGAACATGTGTGAGGCGTGTGAGTGAATGTGAGCACGTGTGAGGATGTACGCACCCGGAGTGCAGTATAAAAACAAGCAGCAAGGGCCAGGGAAGAGAACAGGGTGTTGTAGTGCCTCGGACAGAGCTGGCTCAGGTTTTATCTGTAAAACGGAGAAGCCCAGCCAAAAGGCCCAGCCAATCAAGATGTCTGGTCTTCTGTAGACAAAATATCAATACTAGGTAATCAAGGGATTTTTGACCCAGTGAGCAAATGTTATGGTGTCACAAATACAGCCCCACCATAACAATCTGTACAAGAAAAAGAAAACGTAGCTTATCATGCAAACACTCAACCAAAAGCTTAACCGTCCCTTAGGATCCCATAATTTCCAGTTGGTTACCCCTCCTCCCCCCACACACACACTCACCAGCCTCATGTGATTCCGAGAGCAAAGCTGCCAGGGGACTCTTCCCTGGCCCTGCTCTGTGAGTGTCTGGAAACCTGTTTGAAAGTGGGAAGGAGGCTGGACAAAAGGCAGGCCTCATTTCTACCTCTGGACCTGTTAGCTACCTTGAAAACACCACTCAACCCTCTGGTTTCTCAGTCCGTTTTCTTCTGGCAAATGAAAAAAAAAGGAACAAGGATCACCTGTCACTATTTTTCTCCCCTTTAACTCACTCCCAGACAAGAGCCCTTTTCAAACATCAATGCACAAACTGTTTTGAGAACCAGCCAATAGGAGCTGCGGATCCACCACTAGAGAGGGCGAATGGAAAGTTGGAGAACAAGTTAAAGCACCTGGGCTGTGCCAGTGATGCTTCAGGGCTTAAAAAGCAAATGGGAGGAGTGAACAGAGGACCGGCTCCTTCTTGCCTTTAACTGTAGGCAGGAAGGCAGAGAAAGCTGGGCCCCATCTTCAGTGAGAAGCACTTTCCACCTGTCCTTTACCACCATCCCCTTCCAAGCGAACCATCCCTCCCCTGACGGTGGTGTGCCCATGCCTGAGGCTCTGCCCTGGCCACAGACTGCCAGGTTGGCTGGGGCCAGATTTTGCATATACATTTGCCTCCCCATCATCAACACAGAGTGCAGTTTCAAGAAGAGAGATGCCTAGGCTTCAAAAATCCAGACTGTGATTTCTGAAGTGGGAGTGAGAGAGAAACATGGTTTGAGGTACAAAATACCTTAGACAAGGACAAAGAAAGAAATATTAAGTTCTCAGTTGCTGGGGTTTAAGTCGTAGAGGTACAATGAACAGTATTGGATATTCAAGATGAAATCGGAAGGCTACCTAAAATGCAGACTTTCCCCACGGTAGCACAAGAAGCCCTTGTACACTGAACTAGGAAATTCCCCAGTCTCTAGAAAAGCTGAGAGAAAGTCCAGACCTTTTCAGAAGTGCTAGCTTCAACTCTACGTCCTCTGTAAGACACTCTGATCATCCTAAGAGTGAAAACAGCCAAGGACTGAGATTAACCACAACAGAAATAAACTCATGTCAATGGCCATAGCCAGAACAAGATGTCAGTATGATGAATCAAAACAGATGCACTTAAAAATGTACCTGAAATGTACCTGTACCAGTCCACAAGCATAGCCTTTAGATGGTGTCTACCCTAGAGATATTACCCAGGTCCCTATCTCAGGAATTAGACCAAATATAACATCCTGTGATTAAAGAAATGCAAAGCATGGTTTTTATCTTAACTGATACATCAAATGCTATCTTAGTTACTTAGTCCTATGAATATTGCAAGGTCCTTACTTAACTTAGTGAGGCTAAGTGGTTCTTCACTCAACAGACCCGTCACAACCACATGTACAGGTTCAAGGGCCCTGTCACAGAATCACATCACTCATTTTCCTGGCCTCTTAGTACAGAGGATGAGTTAATTCAATGACGTCCTTGTCAGTTTTCTTCTGCCTAAGAGTCACAACATTACGTGATTCGCCTGAGCAGACAAAAGCTACACTTAGCAGCTCTGTTCGCTATCTCTGGGGATTAATCAGGAAGATCTTGGTAACATTCATGAATGTTGTCTTCCTACGAAGTGATGGTGACCTGCCAGAGGTACCATAAAACTTGTTTTTTAAGATGTACATGGAAATCTTACAAAGTGCATGGTCAGTGCCTAAGCACCTGCCCAGCAAACACACCTGGAGAGAATATAAATTGTGACTGCCCCACACCAAGGCCAGGGTCTTCATGACTCAGCAGAAAGTCAGAAACACAGGGACACATAGGGCATGAAAGCAGCTCAAGTTCTAGGGCAAGACTTACCACTCTGGGCTTTTGCTGGTCCAGGGTATGCAGGAAGGCAGAGTTGGGGTCCAGGCAGCGCTCAGGGTCACTGGAGATGTCCTCCTCCGAGTCCTCATAGGAGGAGGAGAAGCCAGTGGAGGAGGCAGAGGAAGAGGACAGTTTCCTCAGGGGCAGGCTGCCCAGCGGGCTGCCCTGAGCCTCCTCCAAGACCCCATCCTCCTGGGCACCCATGTCTGTAATGATGACAGCAGGTATGTTGCTGGGGCTGCAGGCCTCCCTCAGGGAAGGCTTGTCTTTCTGATCTGGGGAGAGCAGCTCTGGGCTGAAGTGCATGGTTCTCTCCAGCGGTGGGCTTCCCCAAGTCCCCTGGGATTGTACCCCAGTGCCACACGTCCAGGCCAGATGGGCTTCCTCCATGGGGCCCAGCCAAGCACTGGAGTTCCCAGGCTGCCCACCCACTCTGTCCCCAGGAAGGCACTGAGGTTCTTTCACATCTTTTGCTGCTTCCCAACAGGGCAAAGGTTCCAGCATTCCGGCAGCGGGAATTCCCAACTTCAACTCCCCCGCTCCTGGCTGTGCTGAGCTGCTGCCCCCACGCAAACCCGGCATCGGAGACCCTTCATCCACTCCGTTGGAACGCTGTGGTGGCTCCCAGACCACTGGGGCCCCAGTCTGGGTCACCTCGGGCCCTACCGAGCCCGGGTCTCCTGACCCCCTGAACCAGCTCAGGGCCTCAGAGGGTTCTGAGCGTTTTTGCGCGTCCACAGTCCTCTTCTCTGGCCTTTCGCCCGCTTCAGGTTCCCCGGGGCCCGGCATGCCACAGGACAGATTTTCTTTCCCCACCTTCCCAGGGGGCTCTCCACCGCGAGGCCCGCCCCTCTCAGAGGCTGGGCTTCTCTCACTGGCCGGAGACTGCCCCTTACCCTCCACCAGGGCCGGAGGAGGTGACGGGGAATGCACACCCCGAAGCTCCTGGGGCCTCTCAGGCAGCTCCATGAGGGCAGGGTCGTGCGGATGGTGTGGCCCAGTGGATGTAGCTCTCGCTGCCACTTCTGTGGCTATTACAGAGTTTGCTCCGATCGGCCCTAACGAGGGAGCTTCGCAGCTCCGAGTTTCCAAAGGAGGGGAGACCCTCTTGTCAATTTCCATAGCTACGGGTGAGACACAGTGGGGTCTGGCAGGAACTCCCTTCTCAACTCTCACCGAAGAGGCTAGACCCTGAGCCCCTGAGCCCGACGGGGAGGCCAGGCAGGGAAAAGGTGCCACTCCCTCCTTGTCCTTGGAGAGGCTTAGGCTGGGTGCCCCTGCACTCCTCCTGGAGTCGGCCTCTGAGGTCTCTGGACATTGGTCCCCCCAGGACTTGGTCCTCCGTTCGTCGCTCTGAGCCAGGACCCTTCCTGGGGGCTGACTGCTGCTGCGGAAGGGGCATGGGGAGGGCGAACGTGCCCTGCCCAAACGCGGGCTGCGGGGCGCTTGAATGGCGGAGCTCTGCGCCTGGATGTGCGCCTCGAACATGCCCACTTTCTGGTTCACCTGCACGTTCTGCAACTCGCGTTGCAGGATTCGCAGCTTCCTCTGGGCCTCCTCCGGCCCTGGAGGAGAGAGGGGACCGGCGGTCACTACCTGCTGCCCGTCCCCTCTCAGGCGACCCGCCCAACCCGGGCTGCCCACGCTGCTGCTGCTGCCACTGCCGCTGCCGCTGCCGCTATTCAGCCTGCGCCGGCCACTCCGCCAGCCCCCGGGGCTCCCGGGCTCCTCGGGCGAGAACGACTCGGTCGGGGGGAAGAGGAAAGAGGAGCTTCTCCCGGGGCTGAAAACGCTGCCGGGGCTCAACACGGCGCTCCCCGGCGGTGGGGGTGTCTCGCTGCTGCTGGGCCGGGGGGCGCAGCCGCTCTTCACCTGGTTGGCGCTATTCATGATCACCAGGCTGTTGAGTGCATAGCAGTACATAGCCATAGTACTGGGTCCCGCGCTGCTCGCCGCCGCCGCGGCTCCCGTTCCGGCTCCGCCGCCCGCGCCTCCTCCTCCCGCGGCTCCCGGTTCAGCCCCGGAGGCCCGGCGGCCGCGGCTCCGCGCACAGATGTAGTGGCATGGCCTGGGCGCCGGGCGAGGGGCAGGACTGCGGGCTCAGCCCCCGCCCAAAGCTCCATAAACAACAGCGCCGCTGTGGAGACACAAGGAGAAAAGTCAGGACCCCGTAGGTCCGGTGTGGGGAACCGGGAGGGAACGCCTCGACCCGCAGAACCCCAATCTATCGGGGATTGGGCCAGTGGATGTCTCACCGACCGAGGCTGCGTGAGGACACAAGCCCTGGGGGTGTCAGTGGCCAGCACGGTGGTGGGTGTGCCTTTTCCAAGTGCGCTCCCATCCCTCACTCTAGGTTATTATTGCTTTGGAGGTGCCTTCAAATTCCAAATTCTAAGACTCGTCTCCGGAGCCACGCGGATGGGTAGGGGACGATGTGCAACTGCTTAGTCCCTGAATGTCCCGTGTGCAGGACGCGACTGCCTCTGATAGTGAGGACACCCACCCACCCTCTCCTGGTCTTCCGTCTGAGCAAACATAGGTTATACTGGGTATAACGGGGCCTCCCCCGCCCCTGGAGTTCAGGATCTCCCCGCTCCACCCTCTCTGGTCATCCCGGACCGACTCAAAGGGAACCTGAACAGGACCTGCCTTCTCTCCGTCGCTGCCTGTGCTCGAGGCTGGGAGGACCTTGAGTGCCTGCCGTTTACCTTCCTGACCCCGGCCTTGGGGCTGTGTCCCTCGGCCTACGAAGGTCTAGGCGCGCGGTGGGGCCGCAGCCGAGGCATTTTCAGCATCAGCTTTGTCCCCTGTCCCCAAACAAGTATGTTCTGTGAATGTGGGCGCGCCTGCGCGCGCCCGGGGCCAAAGAGCTGCACGTCTCCTATACCGGAACCAATACTCGCTGCCCCCTGCCGTCACCCCCAGCGGAGGGGCGTGTGTGTGTGTGTGTGTGTGTGTGTGTGTTCCCGCGCGGACAGCGAGTCAGCCTCCGCACTCCCTGTGCCCGAGGACACGGCTGTCCCTGCGGGCTCCGGGACCCGCGTTCACTCGGAAGAACTCCAGGGCGTGCGCGGCTGCAGCCGCACGGGAGCCCGGGCTCTGCACACCTCCCAGGGGCCCGAGATCCAAACCCTCGGGCAGTGCGGCCAAGTGCAGGGCTTCTCCGCATCCTGGGCAGCCTCGCTCGGCACCCGCGGAGCCGCCCTGCCGCCCTAGCTGGGGGACGCCTGGAGCGCCCGGGGGAGGTGGCGCGGAGCCCGCGGCCTGGAAGGCGAGCAGAAGAAACGCCGACTACTCGCCTCTCCCTGCTCTCCCCTTACCTCGACTCTGCGCCACCCTCCCAAATCAAAACCCCTTCTCCGGTCTCTCCAGCCCATCTCTCTGCGCCTTTTCATAACCCGGGACGCTCAGATTCGACCCAGAGCTGGGAGGGGAAAGACGGTTCAGAGGCGAGAGCCGTTAAAAAGCCGCCAAACTTACCTGCAATTTCTCAGATTCCCGAGTCCTGTGCAGACTACATGGCCCAGGAACAAGATGGCTTTAAAAGTTAAAAAGCTCAGAAATGATTTCCTCCCCGAGCAATGGAAGACAAAAAATGAGAGTGCGAAAGAAAGAAAAACGCTCCAGGTCTGGGGGCCGAGTGATCCCGGCGGTGGCGACGCGGGGCCGGCCCTGCACGCCCTTCTAGGCGGTGGAGATAGTACCCCTGTCCGCGTCTGCTCCGGGCTACTTCAGTGTTTGTTCAACGTGCGATTAAAAAAAAAAAAAAAAAAAAAGTTGGGGGGGGGGTGCGGTGGAGGAGGGAGGAGGGTGAAAGGCGGGGGTTTGGGGGAGGAAAGCAGGAAGGAAGTTGTGAGCCTGTCTGGGGTTGAACTCAGCGGAACAAGTTTTTCTTTTCTTCTTTTTTTTTTTTTCTATTGCTTGGCAAGACCGAGGGAGGGAAACACTTAAAAAAAAAAGTTTCCATTGTTAGCTAACAACAAAAAAAAAAGCCTTTTAACTTCTGTGGGTTAAAGATATACGATCGATTTTCCACCCCTCCGTAGAGGCTTGCTGATGTCTACCTTTATGAAACTCTTTTTTAAAAATGTTTTAAATAAAGTTTTGAGTGTGCATTTTAAGCAAAGCAAGTCATAGGGACCTTTTTTTAGCATTTAAAACGGGCCAAAATCCCATTTAAACGGTTTGTGTTCTTGTACACAAATATGCAAATTAAAGGAAGAGACTTTGTGGGCACCTTGTTGCAAAGTTGCAGATTTTAAATGCATCACACTAATATTTTGTATACCGCTTGGGTTGAGAGCTGTTGATGGTTTTGCAGTTCAATTGCTAGTGGTATAAACAGGACTTTACTGTTATACATTTATCTGTTACTAAATGCACACAGCAAATGTGACCTTGGCATATTTTTGCACTTAATTCTCAAAGTTATTTTTAAAAAGGATAGTCCTTGGAACAAAGAAAGCCTGAGACCCCTTGCTCAGGCTCCTGTAGCTCATTTTTAAGGGCCTTCCCTCCCACCACCCCCAATCAGCAAAAAGGGTGAAAGTACATCCATCAGCCCATACCAATGGACTGGGTATCCTACCCCATTTAAACTCTGTTTTTACAAGTGTGTTTTGCATAATTCTCTAAATCCTAAACTACAGCATTTAGTGAAAAGGGAAAACAAAGTTGCCAGGCTGAGGAGATTTAAAAATCTAAAGCTTGAATCAGTTCTGATAGTCCCTTGAGCTAGAATTTAACTGGAAATTTTGACTTTGCTGGTAGCAAACCCATCTCTTGCTTGTTTATGTAATAATACTGTTTCAGTGAGTAAAGCAACCTGCTGCTCAATCAGGAAAAGACTCGTGTTCAATCTAAAACCAAGATATCTCCTAGCCAAAAATTCCTGGGAATCAGACACTGTCTAGTCCTTAATTTTTTTTTTTTAAACACACCATGAAAGGATTGAGCCTAATTCCTCTCCCACTCCCAACTGGGCTCAATATAAAGAGCTTATATTAGGGTGTTGACTCAGGATGTGGGTAGTTGTTAAGACAGAACAGCCAAACCTATCCTTATCCCTAATTCCATTCCCTAGTCGCAAGAAAGAGGAGCTGCCAGTCCCCAGGGTACTCACTCCATGGAGTTTATTTCTGACTAGTATTTTAGATGCAAACACCATGACAGGTGTCATGGTGGAAGCAACTGGAGGACCGAGGAATGCAGTGAATACTGAAACTTAGCTTCCCAGCCTTGGGAAATCTCACTGTCACATCATTGACCTTCACCAGGATTAAGAAATTCAGGCTTCCTGAATGTACAATCAGCTTGAAGAATTCTTGCTCACAAGGCAACTAACAGCTGGTCAGGTGCCACATACAAAAAGGATTTCCTGCCTTGGTTGGACTGGAGGTAGAACTAAAGGATAATTCTACCAGCCTGAAATTCCAACTGTGCCACTAAGAATGACAGGGATTGGGGAAAAGATGGAGCAAAACCAATATCTGGAAGCTAGCATGGTTGGCTTGTATCCTGAAGCAGAATCTAGTTGTCTTTCATGAATTTTAAGTGAATATAAGAAAAAATATATATATAGTACTTTTTATTAGCTAGGCACTGTTCTAAGCATATTATACATATTTATACATTTCAATCCTCATAAAAAAGTAATGAGGTAGATACTATTATTATCCCCATTTTACAGGTGGGGAAATTAAAGCACAAAACAGTGAGCAGTTTGCCCCCAAATTCCACAGCAGGTGAGTGGCAAGGCTAGAATTTGGACCTAGGAAATCTGGGTCCATAATCTATGTTTATCACTGTTTCTCTGTATTCTATACTAGTTATTTACAATGGAAGGGAAAGTTTGCCTAACTTTTCAAGGTTCTCATTTTCCCACCCTTTTTTTTTTCTTAATTGGTTTTAGAGGGAGAGGAAGGGAGAGGGAGAGAGAGATAGAAACATCAATGAGAGAGAAAATCGATTGGCCGCCTCCTGCATGCCCCTCACTGGGGATCGGGCCCACAACCTGGGCATGTGCCCTGACTGGGAATTGAACCGGCGACCTCTCGGTGAATGGGTTGACACTCAACCAGTGAGCCACACCAGCCAGGCTCATTTTCCCACTTTTAAAGTGAAATTTTAAAGACCATAGCTATGAAACTAAGCACAGAAAAAAACTTCCTCAACCTGACAAAGAACATCTATGAAGAAATCTACAGCCAACATTATACTTAATGGTGAAGGCCTGAACACTGGTTTCCTATGATCAGGAACAAGGTAAGAATATCTGCTGTTGCCACTTCCATTTAACAATATACTGGACATCCTCAGGGCAATTAAATGAGAAAAAGAAATAGAAGACCACTGAAATTCTCTGTGCCTCAGTTTTTAGCTCTGTGAAATGGCAAGCATTATAATACTGCCTCCATGGTGTTCTTATGAAGATCTGTTAGTTAATGCACAGTTCAGCCTTCAAAAAAATACACTTTTTTAAAAAGTAGGCTCCCACCCCCTTAGCATCTCATACCAAAAAAGATCAAAGACTAAATGGATGTGAGAATCTGCCTTATACATAGCAGGTACTCAGTAAATAGTTGCTTCTGGAATGAGATTCTTTAGTACCCCGAGACCTCTTCTCCCTATGCTGTTCTGATCTCCTGGTGATGGTGACAGCACCAGCAATGGTGGAAGGGTCTGGAGTCCTACTGAGCAGTTTATCTTTGCTCTGTCTTCAGAAACTCTGAAATCTAATGACACTGAGATGACCATGTCCACATCCAGGGGTAAAACTATGTGAGAGAGATGCCTGTTCACAGCTCACTTGCCTTTCCAAGTGAATCTGTCTGCCCTGTTCCCTATTAGAAATCCAGGGAATCAAAGGACCACTCTGGGCCCACAGCTAATTAGGCTGAAGTGGACAAGGGTCCCACAGACAGCTAATCCACAGGCTGGTTAAGGACCTGGCATGAAAACACGAGGCAGT